AATAAGTTATTTGATATTTAATTTAAATTTAAAGTAAATCTTTTAAAATTTAGTTTTAACTAATGTTGTAACTCGTTATATTATACACTTAAATTTTCTGATTTTAAAATAGTTTATTCTTTCTTAAGACTTAATTATCACATTATTTAAATTAATACTTTAAATTGATAATTGATTATCCTAGTTAGTAATTCTTAATAAATATAATTAAGTGTTTATTTTAAGTTAGTAATTTCTTATATGATAAATTTTTGTATTTAATTTTAAACTAATTTGTTACTTAAATCATAGTTATTGGATAAATCAAATTAATGTTTAAAATTACTAATTAATTAGGTTAAATATTAATTTTTACTAAATATAATTATTTTTTTAACTTATTAATTTCTTATAAGATACACTTAAGTATTTAATTTTAAAACAGTTTGATAATAAATTTTAATTAGTAAGTAATTTTAATGAAATTTAAGATAGTTGTTATATAAATATAGTTTTATTAATTAGTAGTGTAATATTTTTGGTAAATAAGTTAACCTATGAATCTGTCATTGTTATACTTCTAGCATATTAACTCACATGTCATAAAGAATGTTTAAGCATATTAAATTATTTGTTAAAACATGTTTGGATGTTCCACTAAAGATTATGTCTCATATGAATTTAGTGAATTTCGCTTAGAGTTTTGCAATTGACTCTTTTTTTACTTGATTGATATCTAATTATAGCATTAGTAAATAAATAAAGGTTAAAGATATACATAATCCATATGTAAATTGAAGAGTGTATTATTACTCATCAATCATCAAGATATTACAATTTAAATTGGTTTCCATATTGACGGCAGGCACTAATTACTATTTATTATGCAATTCAGAAGATGCAGAAAGCACATTGGAAAGGGGAGTTGTCGTTTTGCTACGTCGAGGTGCATTATTACATGCTACAGTGAACAGAAAAGAAGATAAAGGGCTATTAGTGCTCAAATATTTAAAATGTTAAATACAGAAAAAAAATTATTCTTTAAAATAACGTTATTTTATATTTGTCACGTTTTTTTAACAATAATAATTAAATTGAATGATAATTATTAATCTTATAAATTAATATTTAAAATTTTAAATTAAAAAATAATTTTATTTAAATTACATATTTCAGTGACTTTCATACATATATATTTAAGCTGAATATATGTAACCATGTGAATCATCTTCATATAATATAAGATAGCTGTTCATGATCCTTGAGGATATTATAATTCCCCTTAGTATAGAAAGACGACGTTAACAATTGATGGAGATATAACGCCACGTGAACCATTCCACAATAACAATTTCTGATTATTTAATTAATTAAAAATTCAATTATTAGATGTTTGTTAATTTAAACAAAAACTGTCGAGTGGAAAAGGGAGACACAATTCAGTATTTCATATTTTCAACTAAACCTGAGTCTAAAATTTTATTATATTAAATAATATTAAATATAATTTTACTGAGAAAAATTATAAAATATTTTCTTATACATAATATTTTTTATATATTTTATATATTTGTCATTTTTTATAATAAATATTTTTATTTTTTTATTAATATTATTCTAAATAATGTAATATATAACTAATCATTATTAAACACAGATTTTGATAAATATAGTTTAATATAATTTAATAATTATTCTTCACTTTCATTTATTATTATTACATAACATACTTTTATTTAAAAATTATTTTTAAAAAAAAAATCATTTGAAGTCACTCACGGTTAAAACTATCTGAAAATAAGTATTTTAACATTAATATTATTTTCAGTAATTATTTTTAAACTCACCCTTCTCAGTTCTGAACTCTGGAGCACACCCTCTTTGTCTATTTCTTTGTGACAATCTGATTTATGAACCCACATTATCTTCAAGATACTGAATCTGATTAGGAAATCACTTTTATTAAATGTTAAAGGTTTATTGGCTTTGAAATTTTGATTGTTTAATTGTAACAATGATTTCTGAATTTTGATTACTCATTACAAAACCGTAACATCTTCCTAATTTTGGGTACTATTAAACTTTTGAGCATTTATATTTGTGTACTATAATTTTTTTATATAATTCATTCCTATAATTTGGCTGTAGCAGCCATCCCTTTACATACTATCCTATTATAGTAATTTTGCTTATTTTAATCCATGCTTTAGAAGGGGGCAGTGCCTCCATATTTTTGGTTCTGGAGGGCCACACCAGTGTCTTCTTATCAATGGCAGGTAAAAGAAATCTTATAAGGTATTAAAGAATAAAATAATTTAAATAAATATTATTTACATTTAAAGAGAATTTAAAGTAAAAGTAAAATTTTATTTTTAATTAAAAATTTTATTAAATTTTTGTGAAAATATTTTCATACAATTTAATTAATATTTTTTTCTATTTTTAACATTTGACAATGAATTTTCTGAATTTTTTATATATAAAATTTTAATAATTTTTTTTATTAAATATCATTCACAATAGTTTTGTTGTTATAATTTTTCACATAATATAACTATCAATTTTAATAAATTTTTCTTAAATATAATTAAAAGATAATAAATATCAATCAAATATAATTTCAACTTTTGAGTTATATAAAATATTATAATTAATTTTAATAAATTTTAATTTAATGTAATTTATAATAATTTTTTTATATTTTATATTTTATAAAAAATAATAATTTTATGAGTGTAATTTTTTAAACTAATTAATAAAATAATTTAAATCAATACCATTCAAATTTAAATATAACTTAAAAAGATATAATTTTATTTTCAATTAAAAGGTAACTCGAGAACTTTACTAAATTTTTGTAAAAATATTTTTGTATAATTTAATCAATATTTTTTTTCTATTTTTAATAATTTACAATAAAATTTTTCAAATTTATATATATATATATATATATATATATATCTATTAAAATTTTGAAATGATTTTACAACAAATGTGTCCCGTGCTCCTTGATTATAGGTTGGTTGATTCTAAGATTCTCCTTGATGTCATTGCACATTGAGATGGTAATTTGATGGCATGATTGACATTTAAAACATCTTTCATTCAATGAAGGCATCTAGCTGGGAGAGGAACTGACTAGAGCTTGGAGTTAGAGTCAAAGAGGAGGGATTGGATGGCATGGAGAGAAGAGAGGTTAATGCTCCAACATATATATTGAAAGATTTGGTATGGTTTGATAAACTCTGATACCAAATAATATGAGTCAGATCCAACAAAGGGGAAAGATTTGAAGTTCACAAAACATATAAACTTGAAAGGGGAACATGAGTTTGTCAATCCTCTCTCCACATGATACCTCTCTGTCTAAGAGACACCATTCAAGCCAACAAGAAATGGAAATCCTAATGAGTTGTCTGCAAAGGGGGTTTTTGGAGGGGAAGAAGGGAAGACAACTTCTATTTTTAAAATAAATATATTTAAAATTAATATTTTTAAAAAAAATAAAATATATAAATTGATATACTGACAATGATATATATTTTTTAATTTAAAAAATTAAAAAATATTTTCTCTCCTCCCATCTCCTTCAAAATCTACCTTCCAAACATATCCTAAAGCAAATTTGTGACTTGGATGATATTAAGATATATATAAAGAAATGGACTGACCAAAAAAGAATGTCTCATTCATTTGTTCTCCAACAAGCCACAAGCAAAGGGGACTATTCTCTTTCTTCCAAAACACACCACGTCAAGTTATACTCAGAATCTACTTGCAACAACCACCAAAAATTGATTTCGAAATAATTGGAGACTTTGACGGGGTAGCAACATTCTCTAGTTCAGTGGCCATAGTCATGGTTAATTTGATGTTTGTCCTATACTCTTTATGGAACCTATTCACGATGTAAATCAAAATTTGAAGACCTGTCTAAACTCTCAAATGGTTACAGAAGCAGAGTTCCTGTCAGAAAGTGTGACGAGGCAACCACGAGGTCCACGAAGGTGAGGTTTAAGAGGATTTTCATATATGACCTCAGGTACATTGAAACAGTTTCTTAAGATAGCCAAGAAAGCATAGTTGGCATCCCAAGCAAACATAATGCCGCAAAAGGATTATTACAAAAGATAAAAAGGTAGGACCGAGTCTCAAAGGCTTGAGAAGTTCGCATTTTGAATTTAAATACGTTGTTGTGGCAAACATTACTACCAATGGTAAGTTTGGAATAGGTAGACCACTCTTGAGAAACGTTTAAGCAGCGTTGAGATGACTGGTGAGGAAGGCATAATAAAAGGCAACAAGGTCCTATTGGTCAAGTGCATTCAAGTTCATGCAAACATGGTTCACATGAAAGGGAAGTTCTCTCACTCTTCACAAGTGTATTTTAATTATAAATCTATCAACGAGTTTCTTGCAACCTTTTAAAGATGTAAGAAAGGATTACAAGCTTCAAGCCGCTATGAGAAAAATTATAACGAAAACAACATATGCAATTAAAGAAAAACTCCCTTCAAGTGAATGAGTTACTGTTTGAGAAATGCCCTTGATCAACCAAGACAAAGATGACATCTTTAAAATTTTGTTTGAAAGTTTAAAGAGAAAAACAAAAAAGATTTGAAAGATTAAAGAGAAGAAAAAAAAATGATTAATACAAAACTCTTATTTAAAAAGAATTCAAAAAAATGAAATTAAAAAGGTTTTGAAAACTTTATAAATGAGCTTCTAAAAACATAATTACATAAATTTTCTGATTCTTTTTCCTTTTCTCCTATTAAATAAAGCCCAAATACAAAGACTAATTTCTAAACAAGTGTCACCAATAGGGTAAATGAATAATTTGACTTTAATTATTATATGTTTTTTCCTTTGTAAATTTACACAACGATATATGATATCTTCATTATAATTTTTTATTACCAGATAAGACATTTGGACAGAAGACATAATTGTAACTGAAAAACTATGAGGATTAAATATAGACAATTTAAACAGTCTAAAATTGCACATGAGCTAAAATACTATAAGTGCGATTAAACCTTAAAATTTCTAGTTCAAAGCACTAGCTGCAATACGCTACAATTTATACCAAAATGGAGCTTTCGTATCTTTACACAACATCAATTACAATAACATGGCATATCACCTACAATTACACAGATTACAAGCTGTTACAAACAAAATTGAACGACCACTTTTAAAAACTAACATATATACAAAAGCCTTTGAAGCCAAAATTTGTATTTCTGCTATTTCAGCAGGAAACAGGACTACAGACGTAAGACATTGTCATTGCACTCTAAGGAGTAAACTTCCAAGGAAATTTTCCATGAAGGCCAATTCAGACTTTTGAATAATTTGTATTATTAATTGCATGGTCGAAGACCAACCTTCGTGACCTCTCCAAATCGCATTGGATGATGTATTTTGATAAATCTGCAAAGAACAAATATCACGTTTCCTATGGCTTCAAGTTCTTTCTATTAAAAATGTAAAACTGAACATCCCAGATTCAAAAAAGAATACAGGTGGTACCAAGAACAAGTACCAGTAAAATTAATCAGTTTTGGTCCAAATGAAAGGAGACAGGCACTCATTGATCGCTGCCATTGTTCCTTATCTCAACAGTTGGCATAAGCATACAATTGAACCTCTTAGGTATACACCAGATCTTTTTTTAAAAGAACACCGGCCTCTGCTCAACAAGCAGGAGAGAACCAAATTTCTAGTTACAAATAAACAGACTTAACATCATTAGCCCCAAAGCTAGCAGCACATTGTGGACATTTGCGATACCTACTCCCAGCAACTTTCTGGATACAAGAGTAGCAGAACAAGTGGTAGCATTTTGTAATTACCACCTGACAAAAAAAATAGATACATAAGTTTTTCACCCCAATAAAAAGTCAGATTTGCTTTGCTTTCTTTCAAATTCTAGTTTGAAAACAGAGAAACAAGTGACAAACGTGCACACCAAAACAGAGCACATCTCACAATATATCCAACAGTGACCAGTGCAACAAGGCTGATATAACGATAAGGAAAAAATCAGAACATATTAGCTGTAGCCCAAGACTTTTACACCTCATGTGTCTACCTTAATCATGCAGTTGATATCCATCCAAAGTACATGTGATAGTGTAGAGTTAATTAGGATTACCTCAGCATACAAGCAAAAAGAAATTTCAGAATAAGGCTAACATTTTGTTTTGTTTTTCAAAGGAGCACAAAACCAAGGCACTATCATCTTGTGTGTTGCAGAAGCTGAAATTTGTCATAAAGACAGAAGGGAGGAATGGTGGGTGATGAACTACACAGGTTAACAAGTCAAAATCAATAAGACAGCCAGAAGAAAAGTAAAATGAATATGGAGTAGGGATCCTCCAGAAGAGTCACAAATAATAAAGACAAAGCAGAAAAAGGAAACACTAATTGCGTACAACTTGAAGAAACTGTGCTCGCAACTAGCCTCCTTGACAAAGGTAGTCGGAAGGTTGGAAATAGAGGTTTCAAAGAGGCAACGCTAAAATTTATTTTCCCTGATCTGTGGAATGAAATTGACAACAGTGAAGTAATTCCCTTTGGTGGACACTGATAATGTATATTAGAATTCATAGTGTTGTCCTAGAACATGTTCTGCACTTAGAAAGAGAAGAAAAGGTGGAAACCAAGCATATCTTTCTAGAAACCACGTATCTAGAACTGAGTTTGAAATGAAAACTTTTGGCATTTAAAATTTTCAAAATTTAAGCTGGAACATGTATATCAGAACAAAATCTAAGGTTTTCAAAATCGGGGTGGGAAGGATCTAATCCAACGACCCTGCTTTGCATTGTCCATTTCACATGAAACACAATTCAGATGATAGTGCGACTCAAGAATGATGAAGGTGCAATTCTGGTCCCATACCAATTCCCCCTTGGATCTTTACTAACAGTTAACTGAATCAGATTGAATTGCATGAATCAAATCTAGATTCATAACGGTTTAACTACAGCAATCAAACTAATCATGCCAAGCATTTATTCTTCCTCTAGCATGACGTACAGTAACTATTAGAATGGTTCATAAAATAAGACTACATTAATCCACTAGTCCTTGAACTATTTGGAAATTTTTAAATAGGTCTTATACCTTAGAAGTCTGTAATTTAGTCCCTAAACTTGCAAATCATTTTTAGTTGCATCCTGGGTTAGGGTTCTGTCGAAGATGTCAAAGTACAGGGACCTATTTGAAAATTCTAAAAAAGTTCAGGAACTAAACGACTGGTTTAATAATCCAGCAGGTCCCTAAGCTATTTAGAAACTTCCAAATAACTTGGACAAGGATCAAGAATATTTTGTCAAAACTTTGACAGAACCCTAGACCCAGAGGCCAATTAAAAATGATTTATATGTTCAAGAACTCTATTGAGATCCCACATCAACTACAGCTTATAAAGGTTAAGAACTTTGAGACAATCGTCACCTTGTGAGTCAGCTTTTGAGATTGAGTTGTACCAAGCCTAAATTAAAAATGGTCGTCATTCCAATATTGGGTCAGCCTTGACTATAATAAAAAAAAATAAAATAAATTGATGCCACAGATTTTTCCAATTCAATTAACTTGACCTCATGAATTTCCCAATGCAATTTACTCAGCCACAGCTTTCCCAATGCAAACAAGAACAACAACCAAGTCTTATCTCACTAGGTGAGGTCATCTACATGACACAATGCTATTGAGCTTGGTAAAAAACCAAATTCTCTAAAATATTATTTATTGCTAGATCTCTATTAATAATTTCCTCTAAATATCTTTTAGGTCTTCCTCTAACACTAGGCTTTCCCAGTGCAAAAAACTAGACTTGCTATTTCCTTGCTCTAGATATTCAATTTTGAGCATTAGGAGATGTATTATGATCTCACACCAACTACATAGATGACCAAAATAGAGCTTATAAAAATTAAAGCAATCCTTACCTTACGAGCTAACTTTTAGTATTGAGTTAAACCTAATCCTAAATTTAAGAACTCAAAGTATAGGGATCTATTTAAAAATTCCCAAATAGAAATAGTCAATGGATTGACAATTAATTTATCATCAAATCAATAATCCCTTCCAGAGTAGATTCACAAATGTATATTTGAAATTATACACTTTCAAAGTGTTAAGGACCACTTAAAAGCACAAGTACCTAAGACTTGCTACAAATTTATGAACAGATGTTAAAAATTGCAATACAGTTCACAGAATCAAACACATGTATATCTGGATGGGACTTAAGCAGGGATCACAAATCACATTATCACAACTTGAAACAGAACGGATGGGTATACAAGACTCTCTTTAAAACCAAGCAAAAGATTGTACAGGTATTCTGGCTATGGGAAGGAAAGGGATACCTACCAAAAGATTGTCGTCAAATTATTCCATTAGGTAATTTTATATTACATAAAATTTCAGAACCATTGAATAGAGAATTTGCATTAAGTAGGTCAAGTCTACAAAGTTTCATATAATTCAAAATAGCAAGGATCACACGTTCAAGGTTGCTATGATTCCACATTTTACATTTATAACAACCAAGCATTATCTCACTAAGTGAAGGCCAAGTACATGGATCACACAATGTCATTGAGCTCAGTCAAAAGCCAAATTTTCATAAATTTCCCTCAAGCTTATGTTATGGACCTATATTTCAGTGTGCTTTTAAGGAACTATATTTCGGGGTTCTAAGTGTGTATTATTTATTCTACCGTAGAGCAGGTTCAGTAGGTTCAATCTAAAGGTGCAGGAGAAAATAAGGAGACTAAACTTTCGTAGGAGTGTGACTTCAGCTTTTATGGCATTATATTGTCTCCTTTTCTTTTCCATCATTTTCTTTTTCTGTCGAACAAAAAATAAAATTGTTTATTTCATGAATAAAATATTGTAGTTGCAAGGTCAAGTCAGAAAAGACTAAAATCTGGCATAAATTTTGAGGCATTTGGTATAACTGCTGAATTATTAGTTCAGTATCATCACACTTTCTATCCCACCGATATCAGGAAAGGGTCATGTGATCTCTCCTGGATGTCTACCTACATGGAAAGGGTCCTTTGTATAGGAGAAAGGGACGACGAGAAAGTAAAACTTTTCCAACGTGGAACTTGAAATCAATGTCTTTTTTTTATCCTTTATCCTTTATTCTCTTTCATTTTTTAGGAAAGCAAAAGCTATTTCATTATTATTATATTTAACAAATGACCCATTCAAAATTAGGTATTGACATTAAAATTTTGAAAAAAAAAACAATCTGAAAAAAAGACAGATTTCTGATTATTGAGTTGTTTTAAGCTTATCAAAGAAAGCAAAAATTACAAGTACCTTCTAAAATAAGAAGTATTTATAATCATAAAAAAACGAAATACAACATAAAATCTCTTAAACATAAATCACCTTTTTATATATTCTTTAAATCACTTTTTCAAAAATCTTAAACAATAGAGTCGTTAGATCCATTAGATGTGAAGCTAATCCCCACTCCGGAATCAGCTTGACCATAACAAGGTGTTTCCAATTGGTTTTGGACCCTTTTACTGCAAGTCCACCCACAGTGAACTAAATTTTGCCAACTGCTACAAACCTCAAGGCTAATACCCTCCAGCATTCAATTGCAACTCTACAAACTTCTTTTAAGAAACCCACATCTAATAGCTCTCAGCACATTAAAAAATTACCTCTTTTGCTCTGTCTTGGCAGACACTGCACTTGACAATTTCCCTATACTCTTCAAGTTCCTGCTGAAGCTTTTCAGTTAAGGAGGAGCCCTCATTCTGTTCTTTAATGCATAAAAACTTTCTCCGAGCAACCTCCAGATCCTCCTCTACTCTTTTCTTGGCAAACCTAGTGACAAAAAGACAAAAGGCTCACAACTGTTGTGGACCAAAAGCATTAGAATAAAATATAACTTGTACACATCACAGACTAAATACCTTTCTTTCTCAAGTTCTACTTGTAACTCCATACGAATCACTCGACTACTTCCAATTGTAGAATGCATTTCCACCACTGTATCCCTAACCAGTTGAGATTGTTTTCTAATATCAAACAGCCTTCTTTGTGTATTTTCCCAAGCAGCAGAACTTTCAAGCTTATCCTCTGCAAGTCTTTGGAGCTGATCTGAACAAAACTTTAACTGCATACCAAGTAAACATTAGTCAACTCCATATTCATAATTGAAGTGCAATTTAAATCAAAACCCAACTACCTGATCCTCAATTCTTGAAGCTTTCATATCATATAAATTCAGGGATATGCTTGCTTGCTGGATCTCTTGTTCCATTACCCGCTTCTCCATGACCAATGAATTCTGCTTCTGTCTTGCCCTTACACCCTCTAAAACAAGCTGCATCAATAACACATGTCAATAAATATGCAACAAAAATAACAAATATCATTATAACAATATACACCTGGTCTTCAATCATAATAAATGTTCAATGTATAACAAATTTTGGCTGACAAGAAATTGCAGTTCTATATTCTGCAAGTAATATTTTCAACTATTTCAAGATGACATGTACCAAACTCAAAACACAGAATTTGCTGAGATCTCAAATTAATAAAAATGAAATTCATTTTTCTTTGATTATACAAACGTCCACCAACCCACGAACCTTGAAGATCACAGAATGATATTTGATATGCAAGGGAACTTTGGTAGTATACAAGTGAGGATGCTTGCGAAGATGCCTTCTCTTAATAATTTTATCATTCTACTAGTCAGCTTATTCAGTCCTATGGACAAGCATCTTGGTTACTTCGATGCAAGGGCTTCAGTTTTTCCTCTTATTGTTGAATTTGGGCTTTAAGGCTGACTCAACCCCAAAAGCTAGCTTATAAGGTGAGGATTCGTTTAACCTTCATAAGCTCTTATTTAATTATATCTTCTTTAACCTTTATAATGCTTTTTCAAGACACTGTATTATTCTAAGATGTAATCAAGACACAATTGGATATTTTTCAAATATTCTAACACTTTCCCTCAAGCTCAAGATAAAGTTTTTACATATAGACCCTTTAAATATAATATGGGCTTCAACATGTCAAAATGATCATCATCCTGAAGAGCTGGTTGGAATGTAGTTCTTTTCCACTTCTATTTGACGCTACCTTCTCGGATACCCATCTCTCTCTGCTTTTTTAGTGGGCACGTCTCTCTCTGGTTTGGGGGTGGCTCCCTTCCCTCGTCTGCCTATGTTTTGCTTCCATCATCAGTCGCTGGAGATGGAGTAGTTGTTGTTGGAGCTGCAGCAGCAACAGTTGCTGGAAAAATAGGGGTTGACGAAAACCCAAAACCCCAACAAGAACAAAAGGCAGAAGATGGAAGCTGAACCTCGAATGAAGAACAAGAAGAGAGGCAATGGTTATTTTTAGGGTTGGGCTCACGGGTTCTTTCTTTGGACTGGGTCGAATTTGCGGCCCAACCCATTTTTTCTGCAAAATCGCCATTTTTCTGTCATGGCTGCCATTACTTCCGTCACCCCCATGTGCGTAACAGCTGCCATGGTGCCACCACTGAAAAACACCGTGCCTGTAATGGAGAGCATGAAATCCACCACCGATTCCCATTATGGCAGTGCCATAACAGTTATTTGATAACACTAAGCATGACCATGCAAAAATTCATCACCTCATGACTCATTACTGAGATAGGAGAAACCACCATCAAAATAATTCAATATGATGGGTTGATATTAATCACAACCGATTTATCTGTCATTATTTTGATGGAAAGAAGTCACCACAATTATCATAATTGGAAGAGAACATCATGATAGACAACAAATAGTTTTGGAGGGAGAAGAGGGGAGGGAGAGTGTTTGGGATTGAATTGGACTGGCGACCCTCCAAGCCACACGATGTTTGGCACAAAAATTGGGACTAGATCAAGTCTAGGACACAGATAAACAAGGCCTGATGACATCTAGGATTGAGATTTCAGACATATCCAATCTAGGACAACAAACCATGACTAGATTGCATCTGAGGGCAAAAACCAGCACAGCCAAACCACATCTGCAACAAAAACCAAGGAAAAATCACATCCGGGAGCAAAAGATAATGAGGACCAGACTGCATCTAGGGCTGTAGATCAATGGGGCCAGATCACATCTAGGATAAACACCTTTGTAATTCTCCATGCTAAACTAGTAATAAAAACTTGAAAAGTGCCATTCCAGTAGTCAGAATAATCACAAAGACAATGCACAAGTTAACATAATATAAAAGGATTGGGCCAACAAGAATGTGGCAGCAACTACCAGACAATACTAAGATCACTTATGATGGACTGCTGGAGACATTAGAGACCATCAGCCAAAGAGAAAAGGCTTTGTGTGTCAAATACAACCTAACAGACGTTGTAAAGGAGAAAAAACCCCAGGTATGGAAAACAAATGTGTACAGATCTAGACAAGCAAGGCCCAGAAATTGTTGGTGGAAATAGGTCTGTCACACACTGGTACATGCACCAAAGATGGTGGAGGAAAATGCACTCGTATCCTTGGGATACAAGACCTGAGATTTGGGCAGCAGACATTTCAGCCCAATGTGAATCTTTCAGTGGGATTCCAGCTGGAAAGGTTGCCCGAAAATTTTTCCTTCAACTGCAAACAGCAGCAAAGAGGAACGGAGACTGCTGGGACTGGGAGATTAAAAATGCATGCAAATAGCTGGGGAGGTTTATAATAGTAATAGGGACATCACTAGGCAAAATCAACACAGAACATGTGGCCTGCAGCAGAAATTGAAAAACAGGATGCAAAAAGGATGACACACAGCAATGGTGTTTTGAAATGGTGTTTTGAGAGACAGAAGGTGGAACATAGCAAGACAGAAAGCTAATTTCAAGGAAGAAAAAGAATGATGAAAAAGCATAGCTCAGGATTTTAGCAAACTCAGCAACAAAGTAGTGAGGCAGATCACCAAGTATCATATTGTTCTAATACCATGTTCAAATTACAAGATTTTATATTGAGGAAATAGTAAGAATACGTACTTTTTGAACTCCTAAGTATTATGATGTGCTACAAATATAATGTGATACAAAACATAAAGTACTAACCCTTTAACAAAAACTAGGTCATAATCCTAACTAAATAAGGAAACAAATCATGAATTAAGAAAATATAGAAACCAATCATAAGAGATAGTAAGGAAAAATGGGAAAATCCTATGACAATCTTAAGATACTTTTCAGGTTAAATAATACTAGACATTACTCTTTGTTTAGTCCCTTCCTTACGTGAAAAACTGTTTACAAATCAGTCCCAACTGTTTATTGAAGTTAAAACAGTTTATTTCACGTAAGGACCACTGAAAAAAAGATGTGTTAAGTGAAAGGATTTCAAGTATAGAGCTTTATTCGTATCAGGACCAAAATAAAGTGCAAATTTATTTCATTTATGGACTAAAATAAAAAATGGAGTCATGTTTCAGGGATAAAATCTAATAGCATTTTAACTTCAGCAACAGCACGGATCAATTTGTAAACATTTTTTCATGTAAGGACCAAAATAGAGTATTTTGTGTAGGAACTAAAATGAAAAATGGTGTCAGGTGTATGGACCAAATTTATAATTTAAAAGTTAATAATATAAACAATGAATGAAAGAACAATAACATATAACAAATGCAGAACAACCAGAATAGAACAATACCATCAGGTTAGCTCTAAGTTCTGCAAAACCAAACCAATTCCCATTCAAGAATGTATGTTTTATGAAATACAGAGGGCCTTGTTTATATGAGATGGAAAATGCAAAGGCCACACAGCTTTAAATTATAATCACTTTTAAAGTAAACTGTAAAGGTGTAACCAATTTCAAGACAAATTACCTTAATATTATAATCGTCTCTCTCGGTAATCTGCTGCAGCAGGTGTTGGTTTTGAGTTTGCATGTCATCATATGCTTGTCCAATTGTCTGAGGAAAATCATCTCAATGTCAAAAGATCAAAATTAACATTGTATTAGTTATAACAATTACAAGCTAATAATCAGTAAAAAGATCATTATGTGGCAAAGAATTCCATCCCATTAAAATAAGAAATCCAACCTCTATTTCAGATAAGTAGGCCTCATTTTCTTCGTTCTTAGATCTCAAGACATCAGACAGTTTATACATTTCCCTGGAATAGGAAAACATTATGAATATAGTTAACCACCATAAAGATAATAGAGCATGGAGTTAACGGCATACAATTGCAAGCCAGATATGAGATCTTATTAGCTGCTTTCACTTAAAAAAATGCAACAACTTCCACTCTACTGACAAAAAATAAGCAAACACATTCAATAACTGAAAGAAAAATGAAGTATCAAGTTTCAAGCTCCGAAGAGACAACCCTCAGCAAGTACACAACAATATATTACAACTATTTTTCCTTATGCTAACATATCAGGAGAATTTAAGAAAGAAACATCAAATAGGAGCATTTATAGAATAATAATGAAGTACTGTGGATTCAACAATCGGAAGCTCACACAGAAATGCAGAGAGAAGCTCATAGAAAAGATTAACAAAAACAAGTTTTTGTTTCTTAAATAAGAACTCCAGCAACCATAATTATTAGAAAATGAAAAATGCATCTGAAAGCACCTACTATGAGAGGGAAGAAAAAAGCACATGTAAGATAAATATATTTGATCAGACCACACTCTCAATGAGTAACAACAAATTACGGGTTAACCTTTTAGAAGCTTCTAATTTCTGTCTCATGTCTGCTATTTCAGCTTCAGCAGCAGCCAGCCTTTGTTGAGATTTAGCCTCTGCTTCAATGGCTGTCTTAACTCGATGTTCTAAGTTGTGCTCATCTAGAGATGATTTCAAACTTTGAACACGGGCCCATGCTCTGTACTCTGCATCCCGCGCATCCATAACATCCCTGCAGATGCAAATTTCTGTCAGCATTCTACATATTTGTTTCATGCATTTGCTGACCTAGCATGGCAATTACCCCAAACAAGGACTAGATGAGACAAACAACTTCACTATGTTACTAGTTTAACCAAATTTCTACCATAGTCAAAGCCTACATGTCATTTTTTTTAAGTTAAGTTGTGTCTTAAAATTTGTTAAAAGCAACTTAAGTTAATGAAGTCAAATAGTTTGGAAATTAAATTATGTATGAATTGAGTGCAAGACTACATATACAGCTAATGAAGTTACAGAACAATGAGTTGTACCCATTTAGTAGAAATACATTATAATAGCTAAAATATCCTCAACTCTAACAATCACCCCTTATGGAACACATCCTCATTCAAGCATGAATACCAGTTTATCCAAACTTTGAAAAAAATATGGAGGAAGTAGAAGCAAGCATATCAGTGCTTTAGTGCTTTTCCTTTTGTCTGTGTAGTGCCTATGCTTGTTCAGGTTTTTGGCCCCATTGGTCTTCTGTTTAACCTAGACTCTGTCCTTGGGGCCTTCAGATGTCATACTGTTTTTAAATTAATAGAGGGAAAAACAAATAAAACCTATACTCTGCTTTTCAGCTTGAAGCTTCAGCACCATAAGTTCATAGCTCTCTATCTCACTCACCAAAGTCAATTATTCCAGGTTTCCAACATCAAGGAATGATAAACACTTTCCCTCCAATCTCAAAAAAACCTGCCAAAAATCATGTTTTTCAGAACTGGCTAGAGTGACCCAACCCATCATATTTGTGCATCATGCAAACATGCATGAATCAAAAAATTAATCCCAGATTTGCGATTCTCGCAATTCAGATGCACTTCAAGTCATTGGAGACCAATTTGTGGTCAAAACTGATACACTTTGCAACCAGTCTAGATGCTCCATGAATCAAATTGAATCGAGATATGAATCATTTCATTCTATGCATAGTAGTTAATCCCGGAGCAGCCGACTCCAAAAACGCTATAGCGGCATAGTAGATAGCGGGATGACTGCTATTATGAAATTCTAAGTATACCTATTATAAATTAAGCTACACACATATATGCTAAAAAATATAAAATTAGTATCCAAAACAGAGCAGGAAAATAAATATAGAGAAAGAAATAAAAAATAAAGAAGGGAAATAGAAAACAGATAGTTAGTTAGTCACTGGAAATTCATCAGTAGTTTTGTTGGAGATGGAGAAGATGACTGAAAAATGGGTCACATCGTAAGCTTCCCTGGAATTGAAGATGAACATAGATGAAGACGACAACTAAAAAACGTCTGAGTAACATCAAAAGCTTCATTGGAGATGAAAAAGATAAATGGAGAACGACTTTGTCACATCAGAAGCCTTGCCAGAGATGAAGGAGGACGCCGGAAGCAAGATAATATCGCAGAAAACGAAGATGAGAAAGAACAAAACGAGAGAGAACTGAGAAAAACTGAGAGATGAGAATGAGAACTTAGGGCTCACAAGGTAGAAGATATTAGAAATGGAAAATGGGACAAAATTACAAGATTGCCCCCATTTAAAGTCATCCAACATTCTAAAAGGGAGGGCAAAGTCGAGTTTTGGCCAGGGATGAAATAGCCGCTGCTATTCTCCAGCAATTTGGCCGCTATTCGCGGCGCAGTGGCCGCTCCACTAAAATGCAACAATACAAGCTCTTCATAGTGGCATAAGTGTACAAACTACAAAGGCATGATCACCCTTAGCAGTCACAGACAGTTGTGTCAGATGTAGTGACTTGTAGTCCGTAAGTCTGGTGCAAGCATCAGTTACCCCGATCTCTCTCTATAAATACATCTTAAATCAGCTTAAGATTAACTTGAATCAGCTTAAGATTAACAATAGAATATTCATATTCTCTTCATATTTTGATTAAATAAATTCTCTGGCATGATTTTAACATATATAAATTATTTAACTTGTATGTAAAATTTTGCAATAAGCGCCATCCCACTATTGCACTATACCAGTTTCACCCATCCACTCCACACCACTATCCAGGACTGATAATGCTGTTAATATTGTGTCTCATGTACAATAAAAAGAAATTTTAATTTTTTTTAACTTATTTCCACAATTCATCTGTCCTAAATTTTCTCAGAAGGCTCCTTGCAAAGTTAAAACTTAAAACTGAGTTACAAAAAATAAATAAACCAGTACAATCCAGAAAATCAAATGTATTCAAGTTCATAATTGAAACTCGAACCTTGAATCAATGGACTCACGTCTAAACATTTCCAATATCAACTTCAAGTCCCGCTCACTCTCTCTCAAGTCTTGAGCCTGCATCAAAAGCAAACGAAAGCTTTCAACACAAAAAGGAAATGAAAGATTAGAAAAAGAATTGTATCTGCCTTCAAGCTTAACTGTAAGAATTTATGACTTTGCATGCATAACAATTCAAATTAATAATCCCTATTTATTATCCAAGTAAATTAAAATGTCAATAATGCAGAGAGAGTAACGAGAACCAGCACAGCCTGGTTAACATGGTCATTCCACTTGAGGATATCAGATTGTGATTCAAATTGTGAATCCCCCAAGGTAACTTTAGGGATTGTTTGGAAAGGGGAGTTTTGGAGGGGAGGAAAGAGGAGGGTAAAATTTCTATTTTAATTAAATATATCTCAATTTGATAAATTTGCAAAATTAAAGATATAAAATGCTAAATTAGCATAAACATAATGTATCAATTATTTATTTATTATCACAAATGACATATAACTTATTAATTTAAAAATAAAAATTGCCCTCCTCCCCTTCCTTCAACTCCAAAATCCCCCTCCCAAACAACCCTTAAAGTCGTGAAGTATCCCATATTAAACCATAATCCGTAAGATTCTTAAAATGTGAAATATACCTTCAATAATTAAGATTTAAGATAGGAGATAATATTTGAAAAAGATACTTGAGAGAAACTACATCAATTGAGTTAACTGGCACTTGGCAAAAAGGAATTTATGGACAAAGTGAATACAAAACTAATAAATACAGAATATAATTTTCAACAAAAATTAATGATCTAATAATTCTAATTGTGTTCCCGGAGTTACAAACTATCTAGGCTACTAGGTAAGTGGAAGTGTGGAACAAGTATTTTATTCTGCAGTTTCCACCACTCCCCCTCAAGCAAGAGCATAGATCACAGAAGCATCCTGCTTTTTGCAATTTACAAAGGTGTTGATTTTGCCAAATGTAATCTTCCAGTTAAGATTGCAAACATTATCTGTGTTTGGCCTGTTAATGGAAGACTGCATTAGATGCAATGTAGAGTGCTACCTGATTGAAACAAATTAGCTTCATATTTCCAATCTCTATCTCTTAAGAGCTGTATAATGATATACATTCACATGCTGTGTCCTATAACTCAATATCCTACTTTAGCACTTGATTGAGCAACAAAGTTCTGTTTCTTGTAGTTGGATAAAATTAGGTTACCACCAAAGAGAACACAATAACCTAAGGTTGACATTTAATCACTGGAAGACCCAGCCCAATCAATGTAAATAATCTTGCCTTCATGGCCTCCTTTTCCAAGAGATATCAAGGCCATATTGTATCTTGAAATTTTAAAAAATTCCCATATCACTGTATCCATGTCAATTAAGTATAAAGGCTTCATGAATCATAAGACGTTGCTAAAACAGATCAGGTTATACTGCACAATCTTTTCTGTTTTGCTTTGCGCACAGAACTACCATCCAGATCCCAGAGTATCGTTCAGAACCAGTCAAATATAATGTCATACAATGTCTTATACTATAAAATATAAATAAATAACTGAGACAAGCTTAAAAACTGCTTAAAAACCACATAAACCGGTGTAGCTAAAGTTTTTGTGAGTCAAAATACAAGTAACATACCACAGCAAGTAGCCTCTTTATCTCAGTAAGTTGACCAGTAGACCTAACAGATAATACATCACATTCATTTACCTGCAATTTAAAACAAATTTTTCAGGACCTGTGATTTTATGCTACCAAAATGTAAAGTTCATGTAAACAAATAGACCAACCTTTCTGTCAAGAATACTAGAAACAGACTGCACATCTGCTCGGAGAGAATGGATATCCGAAGCTGATTCTTTATACTTACTTAGTTGGCTTTGCATAGACCCCATTTCCTCAGGAAACGAAGAAACCAGAGATTTAAATTCTGCAATAATTTGTTTCCTTCCTGAAGCCAAAGCAAGGGAATCACCATAATAAAACCACACAGCAATAAAATAGCATGCTTTACGGGAATACGGGAGAGTCCAAACCTGGTTCTCTTGCTTCCTCGTTCAGCTTATTTTCAATCACATTTCTTTCCTCTATCTGCTTCTGTATCTCAGAGCGTATATCAGCCACTCTAAAATCTGAAACTGCCACAGATCTTTGAAAAACATCTGCTAAATCATTTTTAATGTACCACTCCCTCTCCCTCCAAGCAAGATTATCCTTCTCAACCTTCAAGAATATAACAAAATTTGGTGTTTGGAGATGGGAGGCAGTGTCATTGTCAGAAATATATCCTAGGAAACAGGACAACAATCAGAAGACATAAATGAAACTACCGACCAGTTACAACCTGTAGTTTCTCATACAACGCCTGGTACTCAAGAACTTCTGATTTTGACTTCTCTATCTGCTCTCTAACCAATTGGAATGCAGGGGAAGAAGTAATACACGACAAATTCTTCAAAGTGTTCTGATGCAATCATTCAACATCAAACATTATAACATAAAAAGAAAATAAACATACATGAATTGTATATCATAAATACTAACTAAAACAAGGACAACAAACCTGAAGATCACACAACTGCTGTAATAATCTTATTCTTTCCTCATGAAGACTTTTCAGCTCCATTAATCGAGTTGAACCTTGGTCCTGAGAAACTCAACAATTAAGGTACAATATCCTACAAATTCTAAAACTAAATCAAAGAATTCAACAACAATACCAATAGCTCCTTCAGAGCAGATTCCATATCTACCAAATCCTTTTGCTTGTCTCTGATCTTATCACTGGCAATGTGCGTACTTCCAACATTTAATACTGGGAGAACTGCCCCTTTTGCTGCATCTCTTTCTGCCTTAAGAGTTGCAAGTTTGTGATTGCTTTCATCTAAATCTGCAACAGTGCTTGCCAGTTCCCCTAAGTAAATCAATGACAAGACAAAAAATAAATTGCATATTACAGCCCAACCTTTAAAGCATAAAATAGATGGCTAGTAGGAGCATATTTTTTATCTTTTCACTTTTACTTAGCCCTTTGGAGGAAGAGAAATGAAATAAATATTAAAAGTGCATGTGACATCCAAAACAATTAAATTATATACATCTCTGTCAATTATGACAAAATAAGGTAAAAACATGTACGGAAGAATCTTGAAAGATGAAAAAAAGAAACAGAAATTTTAAATTATAAAATCTAAGAAGACATTTGGTTCCAGCTCCCTTCCAGGCTCAAATGCAGAAGAATGCCAATAGTGAATTCATACATTCTGGTTCAGCATGGAGAAGAAATGGTGATCCATGATTCCAATAAAACCTTAAATTTCACAATTTTGTCCATAATGGGTGTTTTTGGTTTCACTTTATGTAGTTTCCTAATTTATGACCATTTGTTTTGTATTTATGTGTCCATTGCACACTAACTCAATGTAATGAATACAGAAACAATGAAATAAAATGTGAATCCATCCATAATTGACCCATACAATAGAATGGCAATGACCATTCTATCCTCATTCTGAGTCAGGAAAAAAAAAACTTGATATTAAACTGCTGTCAATGCAAGGTTGATGGAGTTGCACGCTTGCAGCAGTTGCACTCAGTGGACGAATATATTGAATAATCCAAGTTTGTGGCTCATGATGCTCATCAAGTTCCTAAAATTCCTGAGAAACAATTCATGGCATATTTTATACATGGATGCATGATCCTCTAGCGCAGGTATTGATAATGGAATCGGCTTGCACAGCAGTCTATATTATCAATGATGGCCCCAGATTCACAAACCGGGTCATTCTGTTAGAGGGAACCAGGAGTTGCATACGGAGAACAATCATACTCAGTTCTAAAAATCTGAAACAGAGAATTCTAGTGGAGCTATGACAGGAAGTAGGCATGGCAGAACCAGAACAGCGGGTTAAGGAAGTGAATACAACAGGGCGCAGAGGTAACAGCAGAGGTGATAAATGGGATTTAATCCTACCAGGAGTTAATGGAGCAAAGGAAGAAAGGCTTGTGTTACGAATGTGGCCAGCATTTTCATCCTCAACACTATTGTCCAGAGCAACATTTAAAGATAATCATTCTGGATGATGATGATGATGAATCAGGTTCAGAGGGCAGCATTATAGCCCATGAAACGGATGACTGTGCAGAAATAGATTTTGCCAAAATCAAGGCCAAAAATCTAAATAAAGCCTTTATTAACAAGACAACCCTTCTAGAAATCTAATTTGCTATCAGGACCCACTTCAACAAGGAACAACCACCAACAATCAACTGCACATGTTCCAACTTCCAAGAGATGTAGAACAAATGCATGATGGAAGTCCAAGACTATACCACCCATGGTAGTCAAAATCAAGATTCTACATAGGATTGGAGAGGGGGTGAAAGATTGTAATTCGTAGGATCGTAAGATCCTACAAAATTATATGAATGCATGTAAAATAGTATAAATATAAAGATGAGGGAAGCTAAACAAAGATAAATGAGGGAAGCAAGCCACCTTCAACTCATAACAGAGATAGAGATATGCCCACTGAAAACAGAGACAGAGAAGAGAAGGAAGAGATGGATTAGGTAATGTATTCTAATGGAAAGACTATTTTACCCTTAAAAAAACTTAAAGTCATTTTAAGGGCAAAAAGGGAAAGTCAGATTATTTTTAAAAGATAAGAAGTCCTTTTTACCCTTAAAAAACCCTAAAATCTGCTTCATTCTGATAGAAAGGGATAGTCGACAGCTTTTACTCCAGCAGCACTGTTGCACTGCAAATTAGGCTACGATGGCTGCAAATACAGATGCGATGGCCACCACAACAAAACGGTCCACTATGACAAGGTTGCCGGTGTAGAGAAGAGTGTCAGCACAGACAAGGTTGCCAGAGCAAACACAATCATTGCAGTGAAAGCTTTAGGGATTGCAGAGGAGAGGAACAAAGTCAGATTAGAGGAAAGGTTTAGGGATCGCAGAACAAAATCAATTTTGCGGTTTCAAGCAAACTGGGTCACAAAGTGGGTTGCAGGTCGTTAGGTTAAAAATTGGGTTTGAAAACACGGGGAATTGCTGGTTTTACATTCTGGCACGGCGATCCCACCTGATCTCACTAATTCAAAATCCTGGCACCAACCTAGCACGGAAAGGGGGTTGGAGATCGTAAAATCATGCAATTTTACATTCTGGCACGTGATTTTGACTACCATGCTACCACCTCAATCATCATAACCCATCAATAGCCTAGGTGTGAAAGCTTTTAATTGACAGATTCAGGAATAGAAATAAAAAAACAAGACACAAGGCATGATGGGATGATGAACAACAATGATAGCTCAGAAAGTTGAAGCTAGGATGAGGATTATGGGAAGCCTTTTATGCATGGATACGCAAGAAAGGTTGACATATGCATGTTGTATTCCCGTCTGATATGGATACACATACAATACACTTGCATCTGTTTCTATTTCATTACTAGTGATATTTTTTATATTTTATGGAATTTTTTAATATTTCCCAATTTTTAGGGACATTTTTTTGTAAAATTGTTATTTGACTAATATTAGATCAAAATTATCATAAAATATTGAAAATCATACATAAATATAAGTATATTTTAGTTAAAATATCTTGTTATACTTGTATCTTAATATTTACAAAAATTTCCATATTTGAGTATCATATTGTACCCAATAGTACTCATACTTGTACCCGTGCATCACATGGAAGAACATATACTCTATGCTTTATTTACCACACAATTTGAACCAGACCCCATCTTTCAAATCTTTTAAGACAATCATCTTACAATCTTTCCCGCCAATTGTGATCCCGATCTCAGCTGTAACTCATTGTTTACTAAATTGGTGGAATCATCACATAAAATCGTAGGATTGGTACCCAATCTTTCACTTAAACCTGAAAACCCATGGCTGAGCCATTTTCTGACCAAGCCCCACATACACCCTAAATGACTAGTTTTCAGCTGTACCTCTCTTTCTCTTCTAGTTCTTGTGTGCCTGTGGTGCTGCCTTGTGCATGTGCCCACCTCTTCTCTCATCTCTTTCGTTCTGTGTTTCTTGCTTGTGTGTCTGCTTTGTCCTCCAGTACATCCTCTATCTCACTCACTCACTGCCTATTTATGCTATTTTATAAACGCATGAATTTATATGCAAATATTTATGAATTTTGTAGGACCATACATACAAGCCACAAGTTATGATCCCAACTCCCTTTCCCAATCCTAAGCTAAATCTTGATTTTGTATACCTTGGATCTGTGCAATACCACTTGCTCATCTGGCCAGGAGCAACCATGTTTTTTTTTAAAAATCATTAACATCTAACGAGTCAACTTCAACGTACCCCTCAGAACAGAAAGAGAAAAAAATACATACCAAACATAGGCGCATGCGTCCAAATTTTACAGGCATTGAAATCTCTGTGGTTTCAACATATTTTTTGTACTTGAAACAAGTTAAAGATTTCATACCATATGATATAATTTCAAAGCAAAAGGATAAAATGTAAGAGAGCACAGTAGACAAAATTTACCTTTTAATCTTTCAAGGTGAGCTTTATTTTTGGCATAAATATCTCTCCGAATTTGGAACTCACTTGCAATAGTCTTGTGCTTTAAATGAAGTTCACTGAATTCCAATCTCAAGTTTTTAACTTCCAATTCTAGATCAGCAGACAATTTCTGCCTACATAAAACTATAGACAGGAAGTGTAACCAATAGAGCAGAGAGACTGTTCTGAAAGTATAAGTCTAATGTTTGACAATCATACACAACAAGAACTCATATCTTACCATCTCCAGGAAGCTTTTTCAGTAATGCAGCATGCAATCCATCCTTCAGAACCCAAAAGTTATCAATAGCAGTCACTATATTTTTTAAAACGCTTTTAGCTTTTTCAGTAGTAATTTCTCTATGCTCTTCCATTTGATTTGCAAAGTTATATGTGGAGGAACATTCAGTTGCACCAGTTTGCATAAGTCTGCTAAGGAAAACATCCTGAACAGTAGACGGACTACCATCTAGCAAAAACAGACCAAAGGATCCTTGTTAGCTAATTATGTCCCCAACATACAGACATTTAATAAAATTCCTGATTCAATATCAAAAGAACAAGAAATTTAAAGATAGAATTTGTAATGCCAAGAAACATAGGTAGCAAAACACCATACATTGAAAGTAATTCAAACTTCAGCTCTTCAAGGGAGTCTTGAAGAAAATAGACACATCAATACAGGTTTGGGAGACAAAAACATCAAAAACCAGAAACATGAAAACTCCAAACATCATTCCAGGCTGTTAGTTCCAAATAAGTATTCCAAACAGATTGAGAAAACATTGCCAAAATGAAACACATTTAAATTTTAAAATAAGAAACATACGCTAAAGACTTTCTGCTAGATATAAAACTATTTCAAAAAACAATTAGTCTAATACTATCATTGGCATGAGGAAGAGAAGACATGAATGAATCAAAGTTTTGAAAATTTAAAACATTTTGTCATATCGATAAAGGGAAAAGGGAAGAGGAAAAATATGAATAGAAAAATTCAAAATAATTTTTTTCTTCAACTCAACTTAGTGCACCTTGCTCTATTCCAAAGATAGTAAACAAGCTGCAGCAGCGCAGTTCTGCTTTCATGAACAAAATAGCTCTCTTTCAATTATCACATAATCTAAAAGTTAAATTATTTTTTCAATTTTTTACCTCATCTGAAGAAAATCACTTCTATTTTTCTAGATGTTTTTTGTTCTGTTGTGTTTGAAAACAAAACAGTAAAAAAAAATTTAATATGCAAAATATTAGACAATGTTAAAACAAGTAAATCAACTGTAAAAAGCTTTATTCAGATATTTTTTATATATTTTCTTTTTCTATGTTTATCACCAAATTTGAAAAGAGATATCCTTTCTAATTTTTTATCTTTATTCTTTTATCACATTGCTCTTATCTTAAGAATTTGTAATCAAAATTAAAAAATCATTTATTATTTTTCAGATTTTTTATTTATTATAATTGTTTAAATTATTTAAAATAATAAATCAAATAAAATCAAAGAGAAATACAAATAAAAAAAAGTGCATTAAATGTGGCTGCACAGCACTACATAAAGGACCTTGGAAATTCAACTTTGTAAGAAGTATGTGTGTAACATTTCTATCATAGAGTTCATATTGGTTACTCTTATTATCAAAAAAAATAAAATAAAATCCATGGCCCTGCAGCTTTCTCAGTGCAGTCTAACCAGTCCTGCAACTATCCCAATGCAACTCACACCCACATCAACATAAAAATCAGTCAACAATTTCCATGCTCCAGATATCCAATCCTAAGCATGGAAGGGTTGTACAGAGATCCTACATCAACTATAGATATGGCCAAATTAGACCTTATAAAGATTAAGGCAATCCACGCTTCATAGGTAACTTTTTGGAGCAAGTTAAGCTCAACTTTGTAAGACTAAATTATATCCATTCCCAAAAACCAAACTAGAATCTGCTTTCCAATCATTTCATCTCTAATACTAAATTAGAAAAGGACTCATTTTCCAGTTTAATAATTCCTAATCCTAATCAATCAATTACAGCTTTTGCACCAAATATGACCTTAAAACTAATATCAGCTGGGGATTTAACAGTCTAGGCTAAATGTTTTAGGGTGTAGTATAGCAAGTAAATCAAGAACTTGGGTCAGAGGTTGGTGTAAGACTGTAAGAGTAGGCTGCAAAGCAAGCAGCAGTAACTATGAAATACTGAATTGATAGAATTAGATATGAAGTATATATAATGGCTCTAAAATATGATTTTCTTGGCATGTTTTATAGGTCCACATACAAAAGATTATATAAGGAATCTATCAAAGTAGAAGGAAACAGACCAAGCCTTGCTGTAAGTTGCATGAAAGAAATCAATTGAAGAAATTTAAGCTAGGTATAGGGCTGGGATCTAGGTGAATAAGTTCCACAATATGATAATTACTTTTAAAAGAACATAAAATTAAATTACATCCAATATAGATTCATCAAAAGTTATCCAAGAAAGACCATGATAGTGCTCTAATCCTATAAGGAAATAGGTTCCCCACTAAAAGTAATACCAAACCAAGGATGGTGCAGCAAAATCAAAGAATCAGCATTTAAACATAAAACAATGACCTAGAAAAATCTAAATAGTAGATAATTTAAGTTCCGTTTAGCCAAAGCCCTAAATGAAGACAGGAAAAATTACTTGATGAATGAAAATGAAGCATCCAGGCCTATAAAACATTATAAAGCCTAAGTTATCGAACTCTAAGGTTCCAATGGGGATTTCAACAATAAGACACAAACAATTGGGAGCTAGAATTAGCTTTTACACAGCTTTATTAGCTGTGTTTTTGAATTAGATTGATTTGCTCCTAGAAAAGATTTTCTTTGTTCCAATGTCCTAAGACTAAGAGATAAGCTTTCAGCTAAAATTTAGAGCGCAGAAAGCTATTCCAAACAAGCACAAGGCCCTTAAACACCTTGCAAGAATGATCAATCACATTGGCTGAATTGATATCTGAACCAAAGAGCTACAGACACAACTAGAGATATTTAGGCAATTAATGGTTGGTTTATCTGGAAAGTTAGGATACAATCTATAACTCTAGTTGATTTTTATGCTTAAACTTAAACCAAAAGTAATGAATGCATGAGATGCATGTTGCCCATTTAAATAAAGAAAGTTCCCTCTTTTTTCATGCCTACTGATATAAATTTACATCAATGTGGTACACAAAATAATAGTTGGGGACACACTAATGAAAGATCACAATTAATAACCCAAAAGAAAAGTATAAAATTAGTGTTTGTATACACACCCAGCACAGAAAGTAACATATTTGGTAAAATGATTTTGACCTCCATGGATCAGTTAATTTTATATCTTATCTATTTTATACAATATACAATTATACATAGAACAAGCTTTCTAGCATACAATGTTCCTCAAATTCTATAAACTGAAACCTTCTGCCCAAATTTTCAATCCTTTCCACCAAAAAGAAAAATCAAGGATCAGATGTTAATTGAACAAAAACAAATAATGTGTCAAATAAATGCACTTGAACAAAGAATTAAATCAGTCCTGCAACAAGACAACAAAAACAGAACATCAATGGCCACCAGCAAATGATCTCACCTTCCATGACTGATGCAAATCTAGAATTTGATTTGCTGCTTGACTCTCTAGTACGTTCTGAAGATGACTCCAAATCATTAACCAGCTATGCACACGATGGACAATACCCAGTATGTCATTGTGATATAAATCAATGGAAAAAGATGATGATATAATACTACAGAAATATTATAAGCAAAAATGAAATGGGAGCCAATTACATGTTCCCAAGAGTTCTTGACCACTGCTAAAGTGGAATCATATGATCTTTGCCTCTGCTTCAGTTGAGAAAATTTATTCTCAAAAGCTGCATATTCTAACTTCTGAGCTTCTAATTTCTGTGTAAGCTTTTGATTTTGATACTGAAGTACAACAATATCAAGCTGCAACATAAGAGAAGAATGCATGAGTTTAAATAAAACAGCAACCCTGTTTATTAGCTCAGTTCTCCCTATGTACTATGTAGCGAGTCAGTACATGAAATCCATATAATGTACCAAATACACAACCTACATTGCCATCCAATTAAAGTTCCCCAAGGCAAGATAGGGTAATAACATTTATTCAGGATTTGTAATCTGGAATAATCATATGAGCATTACTTTACGAAGTAATGAAAACTAAATCAGAATTTTCCTGCATAGTCATAAATTTCTCTTCTCATAATCACTCAATAGTGTGCAATGACAATCAAGGAATCAAATGAATTTAGTTAGAAAATTTGCAGTGTTTAGACCAAGAATATCATTTTCATCCTCAACACAAAGAAAAGGGATTGGCAGGAGCATAGGAAAACTCAGCCATAAAAAATATAGATTAAACCCAAAACAGGCTGAAGCCACAAAAAATATACTGCAGCTGATTAGAGAAACACATTGGCAGATGTTCAAAGGACTGTAATATTATCAATCAATAGACAATCAAGCATATAAAAAGTTGAGAAAGAAGAGCAAGGAGTTATAATTAATGCACTTGCACTAACAAAGTAAAATATCATCCATTACAGAATTACAAAAAGTAGAAATGAAACCTATTAATGTATACCTAATAAGCAAATTACATAGGGCATTTGCTTAAAACCAGGTTCAGATTAACAGCAACATCAACCAAGCCTTACCCATTAGGTAGTCTCAACTAGATCAAAATAGACAACATATGCATATTATCCAATTTCATTAAAAGCATAAAATAAAAAATGAGTTCATCAAAGGGCCAACAACTAATAATCAGCCACCTATTTTACGAAAAACAAAAATAAGCAGAAAAAAAAAGGGCGATATTATAAGCAACTTTCAGAAAATTATTTTACTTGCAAACATTCTAGCTAACCATCATACATAATCCTCTATGCTAAGCCAAGAAAATTCAAGCAACAGACAACAACTTTAACTTAAAAGCATTAAAGCTATCTCCAGAAAAACAAGAAACTCGTGAAATGCTTCATGTTAGAAATCTGAAACAAAAACTTCAGATATTAAAAAAAAAAAAGCAATGGAATGAAAAAAAGCGGCACCTTTTTGTCTTCAGAAACAGGTAAGAAGGGTAGTTTCTTAGCAGTAGCAGCGGCAGGTGTAGGGGACAAGGAGCTAAAGTGACGTCGTTTTCTGTCAGAGTCACCCATACTCCCCATTGAAACCACACACACACACACACAAAAACCCTAGAAGCCAACCACTTCACTCACATCACAAAATTTCAAAATTATTGGTTTGAAAAACATCATTCACAAGGTGCCCCAGTTACTCGAAACACAATCACATACTTCAAATCGAAAACAAACACAGATTAACCAATCCCGCAAAACCCTAATTCAAACCCCACCCAGTAATAAACCCAAAATATAGAAAATTAAAGAAATAAAAGCATTTTTTTCCTTTGCTCTTTCTAATCTACTTCGTGACCTTGATGAGAGGTACCAAACCTAGGGTTTCAATTTCAGTATGTTTTTTTCTCTCTCTATAAGTTCCGTGCATAGCTGTTTTCTCTCTTTCTCTGAAATGAAACGCGAAAGGGGAGAGAGAAATGATTTTGTATTTTCTACAAAGAAATGGTTACAGTGAAATTTTGGCACGGCTTGGAGGGTAGTTTCGTAATTGACGATTCCCGCAGTGAGAGAGGCTTGGATGCGTGCCAAGAACTCCGTGGTGGTGGTGGGGCTATATTCGGGAGGATAAATTTCATTATTTTATCACTCTTTTTTAACATCATAATTATAAGTATTTACTTTAATTAATAAGTATGCATTGTATTAATATTATTAAATTAAAGTAAAATTACTAAATGAACAATTAAAAATACTTATATATAATTATTTTAAAATCTTATAACCATAAAAAAAAGTAATATAATTATTTTTATTTTATAAAACTCTAAAACATATTTTTATTTAAAAATTTATGCTTATAAATTATATACAAAAATTTATTAATAATCTTAAATATATTATTAGATAACTCTAAACTAAATTTAAAATAATAAAAAAGAGTAGTATATTATATGTTAAAACTAATAAGTAAACTTACAAATTAACAAAAAGTAAATGTTAAATATATTAATTTTTTACTTTTAAAATTATCTTATTATTCTTTAATACGGGGCTATCAAGTAAGTTCTTAATGCGTGAAAAATGATATATATATATATATATATGCCTTCTCTAAAATCTCATTTTAACTTAATTATCTATCATAATTAAACATTTGACAATACATATTAAAGCACATCATACATTAAGTCAAAAGTTTTACGTAGTTAGTATGAAATATCAAATATGTCCTAACTCTATTTTCACATGCTACAAATATAATACATCGAAATTAAAAAGAAATAAGCATCTTAAGGATAAAGTACCAGCAAACATATCTTATAATATATATATATTTTCATAGTAAATTTATAATCAGTTTAACTGTCAATCATCCACCAACATCAATCCAAGTAATGTAAGGGAAAGTTTACAAGAAATGGAATTTTAATCCTAAGTAAATCAACCACTACTAATGGAGCCACACAAGGGTTATCAGATTTCCATATAGTATAATGTATGATAGCTTGATTGATAGCATTATAGTCCCATTAACCCATCCTAAATGAAAATACTATGCATCTCAAGATTGTTCTTCTATTATTCATCATGTTCTCAATTATTTATGCAAAAGAGACACAATGAACAAAAGGGTCAATATATTCAACACATAAACTATTAAGAGAGAAGAAAAAATAAAAAAGCATTTATAAACTATATGTGTTTCAACTACACAACAAAAATTACATTTATATTAATAATAGCAATAATTCATAATATTTAAAAAATGTTCAGTTACCTAATTAACATAATTACAAAGATAAACTTACCTTATTATTATAATTACATATATTTAACACTCCCACAAGGTAATGAAGCATATAGGTCATATGCACTAAATTGAACACATATATAATAATACAAGGACCTCTCAATGATTTGGTGAATATATAACACCCTAATTTTATTTTTTATTTTTTTGTTTTAAAAATGGAAGAGTTTCTAAAAAAAAATCCTTTAGCTCAAGCAAAATTTTTTAGTTCAAGCTAAAATAAAAAGGAATTGTCCATCAGTATTTTAGCTCAAGCGAAAAATTCTCTACTCAAGTAAAAAATCCCTCACTTAAGCGAGAATGGGTACCAGAAATTGAAACTATCTAGTAGATTTTCACTCAAGTAATAATGATCTTGCTCAAGTGAAAATATCAGCAAATGTGTAGCAGATTTTGTCTGGTTTTCTTACTTAAGCGATAATCGTTTCGTTCAAATAAAAATCCTCGAGAAAAAGGGGTATATAAGTAACTTCAATGTTTTAAAGCTTGGATTATAAGCCAAGTAACTTTTCCTCACTATTTTCTTTGTTCTCTCTCATTCCTTTTCGAGAGAAAACTCCCTTAACCCCCAAACTATTCTTAAATCTAAGCTTGGACGTTTGTTTCACTCACTCCCAAGCAAGTTTCTTAAAGTTTAATCTCTCAATTTCATTTTTATTTCTCCATTTTCTTCTTTCTCAAAAGTGTTCCACTTTGTAATATGTAGGAAGAGCTTAATCTTTTGGACAATATCTTCTACAAATCTTTTCGCAAATTTACTCATCAAGGTAAAGAGAGCTCTATTCTATCATTAAAATATTATATATATTTTGTGCTCATGAAAGTGTCATAGTATGCTTTTTTATGAATTATTGAAAACACTTTTAGGTTTATGTGTGTGAGATTATATGCTCTTTTATGTAGAAATATATGTTTGAATGAGATTGTTGATAAATTATTTAAGTTGATGAAGTGGATGAAGTATGTTTTCATTATTCTTGATGGATATGAAATATATGTTGTATTGAAAATATGATTTAGATTGAGTATAAAAGTGTTCGACCTTCGGCATGATTAAATGATTTTATGATGAGAAATGAAAAGGGTAAAATTTTATCATGATGATAAAGGACAAAGGGAGAAAGTTGTGTTTTATTAAAGGTGATAAAAATGCATATGGATAGTTACAGATATATACTTAAAGTGTGAAAAAGGAAGGCAATTTTAGAAATCTATAGGAAATGTAAGATGATGAATGCTTTTTGTTAATTATGCATAATTAATGAGTACGAAAGCATTATAGACTTCATACTCATTTCCTGACCTAAACTCTTGACCATACTTTTTCTAAAAGGGACCGTATTGACACATGTTGTATTCGTGTTTCTATGGCTAACTAGCAATTATCTATACATGTGAAAGATCTCAAAAAATTCCAAGGGTAGTGAATAGTTGAGATAAAGAGCCCAAGAATACTACAAGTTAATATAATGTAATCACAATATACAAAAAATGTTGTATGCATATGATAATATTGTTGATAAGATTGTTGTTATGAGTTGATTGGTGTGTTGCCTTAAATATGTGTGTTATAAAATTATTGAATTGATCATATTTTAGTGGTAAGAAGAAAAGTTCATCATTACTAATATTTAAAGAAAACAAGGATGACCACCTTTTAAAGATCCTTTAGACTAATTGAGTGTACTATAGAAAGTAGGTTAAATTATATATTTTAAGAGTGGTAAAAAGTTTGCCGCTATAAACTTGTAATAGCTAATGAACATGGAACTGATAATGTAATTACACTATAAATCATTGTAGGGTACAATATTCCCTTTTCATACCCTTTTAGTGGTAGAATCCACCACACCCTCAACTTGTATATATATAGAGGGACAATATAGATGCTAAACACTGTAAATTTTGTTTGTACTTTCTGTTATTACAATCATCTTGGAAGACTAGTTTGTTTTACCCAAGAATAGGTAACCAGCACAAAGGTCATTGCAGACGCTGGAGATTTCTATATAGAAGACTTGACATTAGAAGAGTTGGAAGAGATAGAAGGCTAGTTTGAGGTCCTTATAAAGTATTTTAATTTTGTAATCATGTAAATGAAATCCTTATGTATTTTGGATAATAACTTGTACATATCAAACTTCTGAATTTAAATGATATCTAATGCACATGTTTCCTTAATGCTCAAGCAATGTATAACTTGATAGTAAATGTTTACTCATATTTTTACGTTTACCATTTTGTATATCATTGAAGTTATTTTTTAATTGAATAATAATAATTTAAATGAAAGTTTTAAACTTTTATTAAATTTTTCACGTCATGAATGCGAAGAATTTTATTTAATCAATTTAATTTGAAGTTAAAACTTTGGATTAAATGTATAATAAATTAAGAAGGTCACAAAATATATCTACTAGTAGATCATTTGAATTGACAAAGATAGTGGTGATGTCTCCATATAGGATTTTCTCCTTAATGAAGTGGCTATCTATCTCAATATGCTTTATTCTTTCATGGAACAATAGATTTGAAGCAATATTAAGGCTGCTTAATTATCGCAAATGAATGTCATTTTCATAATATCTCCAAATCTCAATTTTTTAAATAGTTGTTTCCACTAAATAAGTTCATTTGTAATAACACCCTAAATTATCACTACTTGAAAATTAGTTACTAGATATATTATTCTTAATAAACTAGAAATAAATAATACATTAAAACTTAGAAATTAAAGCATACTTAATGAAATTTACTCGAAACAAAATCAATTAAGGAAGACTCAGGTGATGTAATTAAAGATTAATTATCCAAAAATTAGTTATTAGATATATGTATTGTCTGTTTAAGACTTTTCAAACCATCTTCTTTCCTTGTTATGTAATATTTAAATAATTAGGAAAAGTGTTGAAGGTCTGTAATAATTATCATGCATTATGAATATGACACCTTTAAGACATTATATTAGGTATGATATTTATGATGGTGTGTTATCTTAGGGATCATGATTATTATCAATTTTTTATTTTATTATTCCTAAAACTCACCATTAGAGTTGGGATGACAATTGAATAGGGATGTCTCACATGTAGCTAATATTATGGGTTGATATTCTACTTCTACATTCTTAAAGATTTGACAAGTGTACCAAGCTTTCGATGTAGTATAAAAAGTTGTTGTGTCCAAAGGGAATGATGATACTCAAGTAATTCTAGTTATCTAATTAAAATTAACAAATTTGTAAATATTTACAAATGTACAACTAAGTTATATTTTGGGTTTTTGATAGTTTGGTCCATAGAAAATAAATGCAACTATAAATAAAGCAAATTAAATTACTATGATAAAATTGAGGATTGAACTTCATCAATCATTCTCTTCATATTTTTATTCCAACACACATTAACAATTATCAAAGTTCTATTATGCACTCTCATTATATTCACTTGTTGAATTCCTCTTACTCGATATTCTAAGATATATTTATTGAGTGATAATTCTTTACCTAATCAACAAATAATCCAGCATTACTAGCAAGAGTTATATAGCATACAATAGATTAAAATCTATTTCTAGAGTCCTAACCTATTATGTGTATTTACCCCAACTGGGTTCCAAGGTAGTTTCCCAACTCACCTTAGATTCTTGGATCATGAATTATTCCTCGTAAGATAGAACAAACATTAAAATCAAAATAAACACACCCAACTCATGGCCAATGAACAAACATATATTAAAAATATCAAAACATTCAGAGTATAAAGATTACATCCAATCCCTAGAGTTC